AACATCCTCCCCCAGTAGTCTCCGTTTCTCAGTCTTGCCACTGGTATGTCTATGTGATAGAGTTCTAACCAGATTTCTGTAGTAGAAGTCTAAAGTTTGCCAGGGACCTAGCACAGAAGAACTCTTTTCCATGCGTGGGTATGCATTGCTTTCATTGTCTTTCTGCTGGCATGTCAGTGGAATGTCTACCTGGGTGGGCAACTCTATGACCACAGGGCTAGAAACCTGAGCATTAGGAGGAGAAAGTCAGAAGTTGCAAAGTTGGTGATTTCTTAAGCAATTGCATCACCTGCTCTTGGTCTGCTACTGTGTGAGGAAAGACAAGCCCCTGCTTCATCATGCGCTGTGCATGGGTTTCTGTTACCTTCTGGCAGTGTAGGCTGCTATGAGAACTGAGTTAGAAAATGCATGTAAATGCCTAGTGTGATGCCTGAGATAACTGCTCACAATCACTGTTGTTGTCATTTAAGACCCCCCAACCTGAACCCCGTGACATCTAAGTGCTGACATCTGAGGCACCAGATATCAAACAAAGGTCAAAGAAAACTCACTCCTACCTTTATGGAGTTTAGTATCTAATGGTGGAACAAATGTCACTGAGCAATAAATAGAAGAGAGTAGAGAAATCATCTGGTTCTTGGAGTTGGTGAACGTTTCCTGAGGAGGTAACCATTTCTACAACTGGAATGGCATGTAAAGAGCTAAGCAGGTAAGGCTGGAAGAAGAGAACACATGCAATGACTTCTTGAGAAAGGGTGTGACACATGGGAAGAAATGAGCAGAGATCATGTAACTAAGCTGAGGGCAAGTGACATAACAGGAGACATGTGGAGGCCACACAATGCTGAGACATGCAGACCTCATGGGAGTCTCGTGTGACACAATCAGATTTATATTTCAAGACATCATACTGGTACAGAGTTAGGGCTCGGTGGGAAGACAGCAAAAGTAACAGTACTGTATATAATGCAGAAACCTTCTGAAAAGCCAATGTCTGCCCTTTCCATCACTGGCTCCCTTCTTTTAGATGCCAAAGGTCTCTTTAAAAGAGGCTCACACCCGCATGTACAAACATCATATTATCTCCTCACTGTGAGAACCTGAAAGTGAAAATGGAATCTGAAGGGTACAATAGAAGCCGGGAAAAAAGAATGAACTTGTTCAAATGGAAAGAGTTACTGAGTTGAGAAGAAGCAGAAGAAAAGGAGTGGGGAAAAGAGATTTATCTATGTATGTAATCAGGATGGTTTGGACAACTGTACTGTGCATTTTTGTTGGTCTATGGAAAGGAACACATAATAATTTGTTTTGTCTCCTTTTTTCAATTGTTTGTACTTTTTCTCTTCTTAATTGCTGATATACTTGTTTTTTCTTTCTTCTTTAAATTTTACATGCATGTATCTGGTAATATGAATAACTAGTTGGAGGAGAACATTATGTATTACAACAAATACTGTGAAATTTGTATTACTTTAAGTGAAATTCTGCATCACTTAACAAAGTAATTTTTTTCTGTTTGATACTATTTTTTACTCTTTTAAAAAATAACAATAAAAATAAATAAAAGAGGCTTAGAGAAGCCATTTATATACTTGGTCAGAATATTTTGTAGTCAAACTCAAAAGTCTTTCTCCAAGATTGTTTCCTAGCCTTCAAAGGAGATTCACAACACATACCTTGACATCTTAAGGACCACAACTGTGCTTGATTTGGTGTACTGGATAATGGGAAAAAAATTTCACCAAATCTAATGCAATTTAGGTTCACAATGAAAAATAAGAAGTGACTGACAAAGGTTCTACAATCGGAGGTACAGGATCTCAGGATAAATCCTGAGGGGATTCCACTGACCTTCTCAGACCAAAAAGCTACAACTCTTGTTGCCAGGTCCTGCTTTACCTTGGTCTTAACCATCCAGTAGAAAAGTATGAAGACGAAATATAGGAAGTAAAGTCATGCTGTTATGTTGAGCTGTGGGGGACTCAGGTCAATAATTTCTGACATTGCCAGTTAAACAGAAGACCCAATGCT